TCCAGTTCATTCTGCACTTATGGACTTATTATATATTAGTCTCAGCTAGTCCAGAACCTAGCCTGAGTCTTTCTTTATTCTATCAGCTTTCCCATTTGTTCTTAGGCTTGACCCACTGCATAACTAGAATATTCTTGTGCTTATCCCTTGAAAAGCTAAGGAAAAACATAGTGGCATAGTTCCATTTAATAATTAGTGATCTCTCACCTTGTGTGAAAATATACAGATTGTATTGTAAGGTACCCTATAATGTCCTAAATAATTCATCATGTGTGTAACAGAATTCATTTCGTGGCAAACAAACTTCAAAACTGGTATTTTTTAAAAAGATGAAGGACTAAACTTATCTTGTACCCTTTCTGATACAATTACTATAATAGGAAGGCTCATAACCTCCTCCAGAACTGTGACATGTGATGTAAATAGAAGTAATCTCATTTTAATCTTTGAGCATAAGAGAGCAATATAAAATATGAGACGTATCACTTTCCAGTTGGGTACCTGGTGCAGTAACAGCATAAAATACTCTCGTTTGCCTGAACTCAAAAACAGAGTTTCTTGGATTGCTAGGATTGTTTTTTTTTTCAATGTAGGACGTCATCACTGGGGACACACACAAGGAGGAAATAAAATTATTGATTTGAACGTTTTTTATTTTTCTATTGTAAATGTTTACTGTATAAATTTCCTTCTAAGCATGGCTTTATGTGCTTTCCGTTATTTAGTGGAGTGTTCCATAAATGTCAATATAATAGTGTTGAACAGGTCTGATCTGCTGCATCTTTGCTGATTCTCTAACTGTAATACTTATTCTATTATTTACTGAACACAAAGGGTTTAAGTCTCCAAGTGTAATAGTGGTTTTGTCTATTTTTCTTTTAGTTTTAACAATTTTAGCTTCAAATATTTTGAAACTCTGTTGGTAGGTACAAGCACTTTAAACATTTTTTTTAGTGAAGCAATCCTTTTATAACTGTGTAATATTTCACTTTATTTCTTTAATATTTCTTTTTCTGAATTCCCATTTGTCTGATGTTAACATAGCCTTTCCAGATTTCTTTTGATTAGTGTTTTCATGGATATTTTTTTCCATTCTTTTACTTTTAATCTTTGTCATTGTATTTAAAGTGAGTTTGTATGTAGATGGGTCTTCTTTAAAAAAAAAATCCATACTGACGATTTCTGTCTTTAAATATCTGTGTTTAGACCATTTACATTTCATGTAATGTTAGACCATTTCATTTCATGTGTTAATATGGTTGTATTTAAGTCAATTACTTCAGTATTCATTTTCCACTTCTGCCCTTTGTTTTGGTCTCTTATTATTCTATTACAATGTATCTATTTGATTTTTGACTATTTCTTTTTGCATCATGTTTTTAGTGGTTTCTATTAGGATTGCCTATTACTACTATGCTTACTACTTAATCTTTCACAGTCTGTTTATATTTATTATACTGTTTCATGAAAAACATAGAAATTGTATATAGGTTATTTCACCCTCATTCCTCCATGTTATAGTTGTCAGATGCCTTCTGTCTTTAGACTTTGAAAACTCCAACGGGGAATTTTATAACATTTTATTTCAACAGTCCATGCATTTTAAATAAATTAAGAAGAGAAATTATTGTGAATAATGCTTAAATTAACGTGGAAATACAGATATCTATTTGAGATCCTGATTTCAATTCTCTTGGATATATACCCAGAGGTGGGGTTGCTGGATTACATGGTCGTTCTATTTAAAATTTTTTGAGGAAACTCCATAATGTTTTCTATAGCAGCTGCACCATTTTGCATTACCAACAACACTGTACAAGGATTTCAGTTTTGCCACAGCCTTACCTGTACTTAACTTTTTAAAAAATAAGGGTCATCTTGACATTTGTGAGGTGATATCTCATTTTGGTTTTGATTTGCATTTCCCTGAAGATTAGTGATACTGAATACCTTTTCATATACCTGTTGGCTATTTGTCTGTCTTCTTGGGAGAAATGTCTTTTTGAGTCTTTTGCCCATTAAAAAAATTTGTTGTTGTTGTTGTTGTTACTGAGTTTTAGGGTTCCTTACATATTTTGTATATTAGCCACTTATCAATGTATGGTTTGCAAATATTTCTGCCTTTCCATAAATTGCTCCATTGTTGCACATAAGCTTTTTAGTTTGATGTAATATTATGGATCTATTTTTGCTTTTGTTGTCTGTGTCTTTGGTGTCATACCCAAGAAATCATTGTCAAGTCCAATATTAAGAAGCTTTTTCTCTACATGTTCTTCTAGTAGTTTCACACCTTCTGGTATCATGCTTAAGTCTTTAATTCATTTAGAGTAAGTTTTTGTGTATGGTATTCAATTTTATTCTTCTTCACGTGGTTTTATAATATGCAAAATATGGAAAAGAAAGTTAAGTGACAAATAAATAAATTGTGGTATATTCATACAATTAAATATTACTCAGCCTTGAAAAAGAATAATATCCTGCCATTCATGACAACAGAATTGAACTTGGAGGAGATTATGCTAGGTGAAATAACCCAGTCACAGATGGACAAATAATGCATGATTACACTTATTTGAGGTATCTAAAATAGTCAAATTCATAGAAGCAGAGAATAAAATAATGGTTTCCAGGGACTGAAAAGAAGGAGAAAGTGGGAATTGTTGTTCAATGGTTTTAAAGTTTTAGTTGTGTAACAGTTCTAAAGATCTGCTATACAACATAGTGCCCATAGTAAACAACATAGGCTTGTGCACAGAAAAATTTATTGAGGGTAAATCTCATGGTAATTTTTCTTACAACAACAACAGCAGCAATAACAACAAAAACAAAGAGTCACAAGGAAACTTTTAGAGGTGACAAACATGTCTTTTTTCTTGATTGCGATGATCGTTTCACAGTTGTATGCATATGTCCAAACTCATCAAATTGCATGTATTAAATATGTATAGTTTTTGGTATATAAATTATAACTCAATAAAGCTGATTGTAAAAGAGAAATGAAAACTAGTTTCTTGTATCTTATCACATGTTTACTATTTCTGTTGTTCTTCCTTCGTATTTGAAGTTACAGATTTTCCTCTGGTATCCTTTCCCTTCAGCCTGAATAACTTCCTTTAGGACTTCTTTATAGCAGGTCTGCTCACAATGAATTCTCTCAGTTTTCCATTTGAGAATGTCTTTATTTTACTATAATTTCTTTGTGATATTTTTACTGATATAGAATATGGGGTTGCCAACGTTATTTTTCTGTTGGTGTTTTTAAAACGTAACGAGAGATAGATCATGCGTTCTTATAGGTCACTGTAAGTACTCTGATGTTACTCTAAGAGAAATGGGAAGCTATTGCAAGGATTCGAGCAGATGAGTGACCCATCTATATTTGAAAGCTCTCATTGGCTGCTGTATTAAGAATGTTCTGTAGGAGGACGAGCAGGGAAACCATTTAGAAGGCTATTACAGTAATTCATTGAGATGAGGGTGGCTTGACCAAAGAGATAGCAGTGGTCAAACTTTAGGTCAATCTTTTAGTTAGGGCCAACTGAATTTCTTGATGGATTCGACGTGAATAGTGAAAGAAAAAATAAGAGTCAAAGATAACTCTGAGGCTATGGGCAGAGATTCTGAAATTTAAAATTTAAATTTAAAATTGATGCTAACTTATTAATACTGTGAATATTAGCAGATTTTTAAATCTCTTTGAGACTCAGTTTTCCAATCTGTAACATGCATCTCAAAATAATTCTCAACCAAATGGTAATGAATATTAAAATATGTAATATACTTAGGAATTTCCTATAAACATATTGACCTTTAAGGCCTAAAGGAAAGGAATACTTGATAGATTAAACCATGTAAAAATTTAAAACTGCATTAAAAATACGCAAGAAAAAAGGTACTGTTAGAATAAAATATTCAAACAAATATAAAATAATGTATTATTTAAGGTATGAAGCTAATTCTTACGAATAAAAAGAGAAAGGAAAACAACTAAATAGAAAAATGTTCAAAAGGTAGGAATAAGCATATTGCCAAATGAAAAAGTGCCAATACATGTAGAAAAAAGTTGCTCAAAAACACTATGAATCAGGAAAATGACCAAAGTTAATATATCTTTGGATTATTAAAAACTGGGCTGGGTGTGGTGACTGATGCCTACAATCCCAGCACTCTGGGAGGCCAAGGCTGACAGATCTCTTGAGCTCAGGAGTTTTGAGACCAGACTGAACAACATGGCAAGACTGTCTCTACAAAAAGTAGCCAGGAGTGGTGGTGTGTGCCTGTAGTCCCACCTACTTGGGAGGCTGAGGTGGGAGGATTGCTTGAGCTTGGGAGGTGAAGGTTGCAGTGAGCTGAGATCTGGCCACTGCACTCCAGCCTGGGTGACAAAGTGAGACCCGGAATCAAAATAAAATAGAATAATACAATAAAATAAAAATAAAAACTGTCAGTAATTCTCAATTTTTATAAGAATGTAAAATGAGTTCTTTCACCTACTGTTGGTTGGAAGCTATTTAACACATTATATGTATTATATTTATTAATTATATGATAATTATGATAGATAATTATGTGTATAATAATACATATATATGTATTATATGGACTGTAGTTACATCATTTGGAGGGTAAATTGCCACTTTTTCCAAAAATTTTAAATGCACCTTTCTTTTGACATAGCAATTTCAGTTTCAGAAATCTCATTAAAATAAATACTTCCACACACACACAAACTAAGGTGAATCTATAAAGAAGTAGAACACAATATTCTTTATGATAGTGAGGCAGTAGAAACAAATATGCATCAATAGAAAAGCAATTATATGATGGAATGTCTCAAAGTACTAAATAAGCACCAAAAAGAATTAAGTGAACTTCTCTACTGATACAGAAAGGTCTCTAGGACACTTTATTAAATGAAAAATAAATGGCAAGTTAAAAAATCTAACAAATCCAATTTGTTAGATCCAATACACACAGACAAAACTGTGTGTATGTATGCAAGTTTGTGTGTGATGGCATAAAATTAAATGCACAGATATATAACTGAAATTAAACAGGCTATCATGATATACCTTAAAGTGTCAAAGCCAGTGTTCTTTGAGAAGAGTGGTGTGAGACAGGGAAGAATGAGGAAATGCAGGTAGGTCTTTCGCCTTTGCTTTACCTGAGTCTTATGTGGTGAGATGGATTTGTGTGCTGCTTAGGAAATAAAACATGACGAGGTCCGTTTATAGATTCAAGACTTCAAGAAAAATAAAAATAAATTAATATTCATTTGATTTTTGTTTCTTTCCAAAAAGAAAAACCTTCATCACAAATATGCATGCTCTAGTAACTAGTGTTACTGCACTAGTAAGAAGGAACATTTCAGGTTTTTCTTGCAGAAAAATCAACTTGTTTCTGGTAATTGGATCAACTATAACAGCATGCATTTTGAAGCTTGAACTTGCCCCTGGATCCAGAGGAAAAAAGCCTTGGGACAAGCAGAATTATCTTGATTTTCCTTATCCGTTCACTTTTTCTAACAAACTGAAATGAACATTTTTTTGACCTGAAGAGGAGTCGTGAAAATTCTTAACCCTCTTCATTTTATTGCTATGTTCAAATTATGACTCACTTTATTGCTATGTTCAAATTATAGCCCCTTTATCATATTTCTTAGCCACATCAGCAAATATAGTTCTTATTCCTATCTTTTTACCCTTCATCGTATCTCCCTTATTTACTTTCCTTCTCTCCTTCCCTTCCTTTTCCTCTTTTCTTGTTACTTTTTGACTCCTATCGACATTTTGCTCTAGATGAATGCTACCCTCCTCCTCACTTGCCACCAGGGAGATATTGCACAGGTGCAGCCCCATCTGTCCCAATGTGCGACTCTCACGATGCAATAGTACACAGCAGTGTCTCTCAGCGTCGCGTGGGGCAGGATCAAGGTGCTGGACTTTCTGTCTTCTGTGATGATCAGAGAGGCCATTGCATTGGTCTCCTTGTTTTTTAGACCATGAATGACATACTGTGGCCCCTGGGAGTGAATCTGTCGATACCAATGTATGTACTCATTTCCACCGATGGTAGAGTGATTACAAGGCAGGTTTGCAGCTCTTCCTTCAGCGCAATCCATGGAGGTGGGCTGAGTGGTCTTAGCATCAATTATAGTCCCTAAGGGGTCAAGAAAATCAGATTAACTCCTGACTCTCAAACCAATATAATTCTGTGGATCAAGGATACAACACTCCCTTAACGCTCCAAAAGTTTTATGTCCTGCGAGAACACAAAAAATAGCATTGGTTTTATTATAAAGACCAAAGATACTTGCCAATAATAATAGACTCTCTAGGCTGTATTCCACGGGCTCTTGACTTAATAAACCCATAGATTTCATACAATCGAATACTGCCAAGGGCTCTTCTGGGATTATGGTTGTGATCTAGCCTGGTATGTAGATGTATGTACTTCCTAGACAAATGCACACAACGGTTCTCAATTACATCTAGTATGCTGGATAAAGCACAGGGAGCATAGAGGGCAAGCCACCCTTCGGGGTCCCTTGTCCTCTGAAGCCCTCCCTAGGTAGACCCAGAGCACTTACCAAAGGTCAGAAGCACAGTTACTCTTGCCACCAGCCTCATACTTCAAGGACAAATGAGGATTATGGACCCAGAGTTCAGTTTTTGTATCTGATTCTAGGTTTAAAGAATTTCCAGAGAACAGAAGCAACAGCTACTGGTAAAGACTTGCAAGGAGTGCAGCTCTCATTGTGGTGTTGTCAGGATCTTGTCAGCCAATGATAGAGCAGTTGCTTTTCTGTGTCTTCCTCTCCAGGTTTAGTCACCTTCCTGAGAAGACAGTGAGGATATCAACCAGACATCCTCAACTCAGGGGGTGTCTACTGAAATAATTTATGAGGTTTAAAGTCTAAAAGACTGGCACTGAATGAGGAAAATCGATCATAAGGATGTATCTATCCACACCTTTTCTTCCATCATTCTTTCCCCGATGTACCAAATAAATTGTCCTCTGCTCCACGGAGCTTGTGGAAAGTGTCATTAAATCCCAGAAGCCTATACTGAGCTCTGTGTTGTAAGGAGATTAAAGTTCCCATCTACATTCTAGAAAATGGGAGTGAGGTTCAAAGTAGGAAGTGATGTGCTCAGGGGGAAAATAAGCATTAATAACACAGACACTGAAAGCTAAATCTCCCAAAACTCGGGTTTTCTATAGAGGTCCCTGGAATCATGTATTGACTGTTGTCTAAGTAGACATTTCTCAGTGCATCTGTTCTTGATATAGTGACTAATGACATAAATGGTGCTGGCTCTCATCCACCTTAAACTCTGGCCTTAAAGTTCATTTGCTAATTTCTATGCTCATGCTTATGGCTACTGTGTGCACCAAGGACACTGAGGCAGAAGGAAAAGAGACCAGGAAAAGCAAACAAGGTTGCGGGGGTGGTGGTAAGAATAGGTAAAGGAAAGGAATAAAAAGGTGTAGGGAATGGGGGAGATAGGAAATGATTAGGGAAGTGAAACTTGGAGAAAGCAGTGTTAAGGGAGGTGCTCTGAGAAGACTTAGTACATCGGTGTAAGGGTCCCGGAACTCTTGAAGCCATAAAACATTTAATAAGAGATCATAAAGTACAATTTGTCTAAAGAGGATAAAAGTGTATCTTTGTTTCCTGTTTTCTGTGGAACTTTAGTGGAAAACATAAGCTTAGTGTCCCCTCTCCAAGAAAGAAACCTAAGTTTTAAGGTGAAGCAGCCCCCTCTTGTGATGGACTGAATGAATGAACTGTGTAGCTATAATCAGGCAAAAAGCCAGCAATCTTCTGACTCTTTTATCAGGTTTGAAGGTAGATATTTAGTTTTAATACCTCTGTACTCATCTTTGTTTTATCAGTCCTCTAACACTCCAAGAAAGGTTTTAATTATTTTTTAAATTACTTTGTTATTTCAATAATATTCCCATTATAATTCTCAATTGCTGACATGGAGTTCATTTCTCTTTTGTTTCTAATCATCCCATAATTAAAGGCTGGTTCAAAAGCCCATACGATTCAATGCTTATACGAGATATTGGCACAGAATAAGTACTCAATAATTACTTGTTTCATGAATGCATAGATGAGTCATAATTGACAAATTTACTGAACTTATGCTGAGCAAATCTTTAAATTATTCTATATGCACTCTTTCAGTTATCTGGAATACATTTTGAACCAAAGACTACAATGGGGTAAACATAAGGTCAGATTTTTAGGCAAAAATTCAACGATAGACAATAAATTTCCCTAACATGGGTGTGAAAAATCAAGCTACAAAGACATGGAGTAAAAGTCTTAGTAATAATATTCCATTCATTTAAAAAATATTCACTAAGAGCCTACTCTGTACCAGATCATAAAGATGTAAGTTAACAGGACAGTACTGCTGAAAATGTAAGAAGAAACAGACAATTACTTAAAGTAGGGAGGACTGTATCGTGTTGTTATATTAACAAAGGGAGAAGAAAAGTAATTAACACAATTTCCTTTTTTTGCTTTTGGTTTGATCACCTTTATTTTTTGGCAGACAACTGAGGCTACTAACAGGTGATATTTTTAATGGTATTGAAAATCATTAAGTATTTTGCATAGCTCTAAAGAATAAAAAATATATTTGTCCAATCTATTGAGTATTTGCAGAGTATCTTACATTTTAGAAGATTATATGATCTCTAAGATCATAACGGGTAAGGTTTTCTCCTCCTATGCTTGATGAAAAACCAAAATAATGGGTTCAGCCTATTTTAAACTTCTTTATCACTTACCACCATAAAATATACACATATCTAGTATTAAAATTTTAAATTTATCAAAACTTAGACACACACGAGAATTTGATACAAGGCCAATACCCTCACATGATGAATACTCTCAACAATCTAGACATGTAGAAAAGAGTCCTTAATCTGATAAAGAGTATCTATAAAAATATCCAAGGCTAACATTGTAATTAATGGTAAAATACTGAACATTTTTTCTCTGAGTTTAGGAACAAGATACATTATCACACTTCCATTTATTATCACATTGGAATAACTGGCATCAAGTCAGGAAAAAAATAAAATGCATAAAGTCGGGAAAGGAATAAGTAAAACTACTTCTTCATAGATAACATAATTTGAATATAGAAAATTTAAAAGAATCTGTAAAGAAACTACTAGAACTAATGGATGAATTCACAGTCATTGAATAAAAAATTCCATTCTATTTCTAGATTCTAGCTAAAAGCAATTGGAAAACAAAATAAAAATGCCATTTACAATGAAATAAGCAAATGAATGAATTTAATTAAAGATATGAAAGTTCATTAAAATGAAAATTATAAAACATTAATAAAAGGAATTAGGGAGGACCTAAATAAATGGAGGGCTATATTTATAAATCTAAGTAATCCATATGTTAAATTATCAGTTTTCTCAACCTTATCATAAACTCAGCAAATCTGAATCAAATTACCAGAAACTTGTTGTGGTAGAAGTTTGAGAATCTGTTTTGCAATTTCTATGGAAATTTAAATCCTATAACAAGTGAGATAACCTTGAAAAAAAAGGTGGGCGATAGCTGGAGGAATTGCATTTCCAGATTTCAAGACTTACGTGAAACCTCAGTAATTAAGAGAAAATGGCCTATTGGTACGAGAATTGTTAAAAAGACAATTTAACAGAATCATGCCCAGAAGTAGATGAACACGTATGTCATGACTTGATTTTCTCCAAAGGTGCCAATGCAATTCAGTGGGGGAAGAAATGGTCTTTTCAATATAAATGCCAAAGTAGCTGTTTAATTATATATATAAACACACACACACAGACACAGACACACACACAGACACACACACACATATTCCAGATGGGTCAGAAACCTAAATGTGAAGAGTGAAGCTATAAAAGAAGACAGAGGAGAACAACTGTATTATATTAGAAGTGGACAACAGTATTTTTTAAAGTACACAAAAAACCCTAATCATAAAGAAAGAAAAATAAATTACAGTGGAGACTGAAGTTGACCCTTGAACAAGTTTGGACTGTATGGGTCCACCTATATGTGAACTTTTTTTCAATAAATATATTGGAAAAATTTTTGGAGATTTGCAACAAGTTGAAAAAACTTGCAAACACACAATGTAGTCTAAAAATACCAATAAAATTAAGAAAAAGATATGTCATGAATGTGTAAAATGCATGTAAATACTAGTGTACCTCATCACTTACTACCATAAAACATACACAAATTTATTATAAAAATTTTAAATGTATCAAAACTTAAGCACACAAACACAGACCGTATGTGGTGGCACTGGAGTCTGGAGAAATGCACACAAACTTAATTTTATGCAGTATTAAATCACAACTGCATAAAATTAACTATAGTACATACTGTACTACTGTAATAATTTTGTAGCCACCTTCTATTGTTATTGCAGTGAGCTCAAGTTTGTGAATATCTACTTAAAATGCAATGCTAATTATCTCCACATGAGCAGTTCATCTCTCCAGCCACTTGTCCATTGTAGTAAAAAGTCATCTCTCACAGTTCTCACATACTTTTCACTGTGTTTAGTGCAATAGTGTAAACGTTGAATAACACCATGGGATCCATACAAAATTCCACTGGTGATGTTGGATGTGCGCCCAAGAAGCAGAGAAAAGTCATGACCTTACAAGAAAAAACTTAATTGCCTGACATTAGGCTGCAGCTGCAGTTGCAGTTGCCTGCAATTTCAGACAGATGATTCATCTTGTAAACAGACTACATAAATTACAGAACTGCTATATACAGTATGGTACTGTAAACGTATTTTTTCTTCCTTATGATTCTCTTAATATCATTTACTTTTCTCTAGCTTGCTTTATTGTGAGAATATGGTGTATAATACATATACAAAATATGTGTTAATTGACTGTTTATGCTATCAGTAAGACTTCTGGTCAACAGTAGGTTATCAGTAGTTAAGTTTTGGGGGAGCCAAAAGTTGTATACAAATTTTTGAATGCATGGGGGTTGGTGCCCCAAACCCTCATGTTTTTCAAGACTCATCTGTACATAAGGACCCAGAAGTCCAACTCCCACCTGGCAGTTTGATGATCCTCCCTGCCCTCTGATGTCAATGAGGCTGAATGGGGACACTGGATTCTATCTCTACCCGGTAGTGAGGTGGTGTTCCCCTTCCCCTGCTGGAGTGGCATCAGAGAAAGGAGATAAAACAAAAATTTTAAATAGGATCCAGAGTTTCAAACACAATACTTAAATGTTCAGATTTCAATTAAAAAAATGCACTCAATATACTCAGAACCAAGAAAATCTCAAACAGAATTTTAGAGACAATCAATAGGCGCCAATCCTGAGCTGAAAGTGATGGTAAAATTACCTGATAAAGATATGAAAGCAGCCATGATGAAAATGTTTCGAAGAGCAACTACAAACATGCTTGAAACAAATGAAAAAACAGAAAGCTTAGGAGGAAATAGAAAGTCTAAGTAAAGAAGTAAAATACATAAAAAAGAACCAAGATATCAAATGGAAATTTTGGAACTTAAAAATATAGCTGAAATAAAAAGTCCACCAGATGGGCTCAATAGCAAAATGGAGGGGATAGAGAAAATTATTAGTGAACTGGAAGATAGAACAAAAGAAATTACTCAATCTAAATAACAAAGGGAAAATAGAATGATTTTAAAAAAATGAACCAAGCCTCAGGGAATTGCAGGACTATAACAAAATATCTAACATACTTTTCATCATAGTACTAAAAAAGAAAGGGGGTAGGACTGAAAAAGAATCAAAGAAGTAAAAGCCAAAAACTTCTCAAATTTGGCAAGACACAAAATATAGCAGAATACTGAGTTTAAAATGTCAGTCCCCAAAGGTCATTTATACAACATATATGAAATTGCAAAATTATAATAATGAAGGACAGATTAGTAGCTCCCAGGGATGAAGGAGGGGGTGGGAGCAGAGAGGAAATTAATATGGCTACAAAAGGACAACAGAAAGCACTCTTGTGGTGGTGATAGAAATGTTCCGCGCCTTGACTGAGGCAGCGTCAATATCCTGGTTGTGATATTGTACTATAGTTTTACGCCACTGGAGTAAACTGAGTAAAGGATACATATGACCTGCCTTAATTTTTTAAAATATATGTGAACTTATAATAATCTCAAAATTTTGAAGTTTAATAATACATGTCAACAATATTAAGTACCAGCAAGGTTATGGAGAATTGAAACTCTTTTCCATAATGATATAACCTCAAAAACGGCTTGGAAGTTTCTAATAAGGTAAAGATATGCCTGTTCTATGGCCCAGTGATTCTACTACAACAATAAAACTTACGTAAGAATGTTCAACAGTTTCACAAGTTCACAAAAAGACTTACATAAGATCATTTATAGCAGTTGTATTCATCATGGCCCCAAACTCGAAACAACACAAATTTCTATTACCAAAGAAGTAGACAAACAAGATGGCATATTCATACAATGGAACAGTGTTCAACATAAGAAACACATAAAAATGTAGTGTATGATTTCATTAATATGAAATTCAAGAGAAAGCAAAACTAAGCTAAGGCAGTAGAAATCAGAATAGTGGTTATCTTTAGGGGTAGGTATTGAGTGAAAAGAGGAATGAAATAATGCCTGGGTTGGTGGAAATATTCTGCATCTTGATTGGTGGAGGATTATTACACAGGGATGTGCGTAACTAAACAGTCACAAACATTTGATGAATGTTAGTGCACTTTACTGTATGTGTATTGTGCCTCAATACAAAAACCAAAGAGATATACTGACAGAACTAAATATGGTGACAACACAAATACTGTATCTTTCCTAATATCAAGACCACCTAGGTTTCCCAGACATTTCTTATCTACTTTGCTGAAGGTCTTTCAGGCTTTTGAATCAATTCGAATAAAGGAACCACAGGCTTGTGCTTTGCTGTTGGGCATCAGAAAGCACTCAAGTCTCCTAATAATTTTATTTATGTATCAACCTATACCTATAAATGTTATAAAAAACATGAGTTCAACTCCACTGGGTCTGCATAGATTTCTCCTTTCATTATTCATTACTTTTCCCAACAGTGAGAAATCTGGCTCTCATGATTCATGATCTATTATATATTTTACCTATATACATTTGTTCAATCCAAACGCTCACATAATTTAGTTGAAGAATTGCTAACCCATACCCCTTGAGAAATAAATTTATTACCTACAGAATGGTATTTGTGTGCCATTCTTTTGCCTTTAGTCTTACAGTATCTACTCAAAATACTATTTTCAAAAATTATTTAGGTTAGTTATTTTCTTCCACATTAAAGACAGTGTCACTGTGTTTACATTATTCACTATAATATTGTTGGATGCATTTGTTACAGTTTCTATTTCTTTTGGGGTTCCACTCACATTCTAGTTATCTTATACGGTAAGATTTACTTTTTGTGGTATACAGGTCTATGGTATAGTTCTCACCAACCCTTTGTTCTGTTTCCTATCTTTATAGTTTTGCTTCTACTCATATGTATTAATAATATAAATAAACTCACACTATATGTAGTCCTTTGGACTTAGTTTCTTTTATTTACCAAGACACGTTGAAGATTCATCCATGTTCTTGCATGAGTCAATATTTCATTTCTTTTTATTGCTGAGTAGTACTCAGTCACATGGATGAACCACAATGTGTTTAACCCTTCTCCAGTTGAAGGACATCTGGTCGTTCCCAGGTTTCAGTAATTATGAATTAAGCTTCTGTAAACATTCACATGGAAATTTTTATGTGAACATAACCTTTATTTCTCTTGGCTAAATACGCAGGAGAGAGATTGATGAATCATATTGTAAGTGAAGTTTAACTTTATAAGAACTGCCAACCTGTTTTACAAAGTGCTGAGCATTTCTCTTTCCTATCACCAATGTATGAGAGTTCCAGTTGATGTGTAGCCTAACCAGTACTTGATATTCTCATATATTTAAACTTTATCCATTCTTACAGGTGAGTAGATGTAAGTTACTTAATATCTTGAGGTTTCAATTTCTTTCTTTATAAGTTGGAAATTAAAATACCTGCTTCATAAAGCAATATTATCCTTACTTGTTTTTAATCTTATCTCCTGTGAGTGAGCAAGAAAAGCAGAGATGTGGACTAACGGACCACATCATTGCAAAGGATAGAGAATCACTCTAATCACTCTAGACAGCATGGAGATACAGATTGGATGTGACAAAAAAAAAAGAAAGAAGGAAGGGTAGAAAGAAGAAAGAAAGAAAGAAAGAAAGAAAGAAAGAAAGAAAGAAAGAAAGAAAGAAAGAAAGAAAGAAAGAAAGAAAGAAAGAAAATAAGGAAGGAAGGAAGGAAGGAAGGAGAAAGATAAAAAGGAAGAAAGAAAAGTGTGATTAATGCCTTCTGAAGGAGGTCTTTTATTTTATTTTATTTTTATTTTTTATTTTTATTTTTTTGAGACAGAGTCTCACTCTGTCACCCAGGCTGGAATGCAGTGGCGTGATCTATGCTCACTGCAACCTTGAAAGAGGTCTTTTAAGCAGATTCTACAGATGTGTTTTTGTACAGTAGTCATGTGTAGTCTTTGTGAAAACCTTCCAAAAAAATCCTATGAAGAAAGGGTTTTGGAGGAACAAGTCAAACACTTCAATTTGACACTAGAGTCAAATTGAAATTGTCAGTCCACCCCTTGTTTCTGTATACGGCGTCTCCCAGACAGAAAATATTGTAGAATCAGAGGATGACAGCCCCTCATATGTGCTTAATAAAAGATACACTGGGAATAAAAGAGAAACAATCAGTGAGGGAAACCAAGAAATATCGGACCATACTCTCCTGAAATTTGGTAAAGAATCAAAATGAGATCCTAATTATACTGGTAAGGTGGTGTGTGTGTGTGTGTGTGTGTGTGTGTTTTCCTTCTTATGTGAATCATCTCTGGCAGCTGTTTTGATGGATGAAATCATTCCCCTACTGGCAGTAAAGGTCATTTTTTGATCTTTCTAGAATTATTTATGAGGTCTTTTATACTTCATGTCTATTTTCAAGTGCTTGTGATTTTATTAATTAGTATTATTTTTTACTTTGGCATGATTGTAGCAGAAACACACAGAAAATGTATGAAAGGAAAAAGAGAAAAGAAGGAAAACTTCTTGGGAGAAAGACCCACCTGCTCCCCAATCCCCGAAAAAGGTAATAGTTTGAGAGGATCAGTGTGCAAAAGGGCTAAGGCTATGACAGAAGAGGAGAAAATAATTTTTACAATAATTTTAACATAACTGTTTTTGGCACAACTCTGAAATAGCCTTGGAAATGTTATAATGGATGAAAACAACTATTAAATAATTATGGTGCTCTTAGAAATTAACCTAAACATGCCTGTGCTCCCATTCATATTTATCTATATACATGTTATTTTGTTTTATAAGTGGCATAGTACTTTTTTGTATTTGACTTTTTCATTCGATAAATTAATTCTTATGTCACAACATTTTCATCACAACAATTTTATGGCTACAAAATGTTTTATTAGAAAGGTGCAAAAACTTTATTTGACCATTTAGCTGACCAATATCACTTGATTTTAATGTTTAAACTCTCCAGTACAGTTGTATTTTTTATCCTCTCTTTCCCAGGATAAAAATCTTTGTTAAGTACTGAGAAATAAAGTAATTGGTCAAATCAGTGAACACCCTTTGAAATCTGCAGCTAACATTTCCTGGTAGGTAGACCAATGAACATGGCTACCAGAACTTGAATCATCAGCTTCATCTGGGCTTGGGGAATACAACTGCAGTCAGAAGAGTGAAAGAGAGACCATGCCTACATCTCTTCATGGGTCACCTTCAGTTTCGTCTAAACTCCTCATTTTAAAAAGAGCTGTCTTCACTCAGTTCTCTGGAAAGGTGGTTACCGCATGCATAATCTTTATGCTATGTTGGACTGCATTGCATTGAAGCAGATGAGTTCTGCAGAGGTGACTCTTCAGGGAGTTGGTCGTAAACTTCTTTTAAGTTTTGTGTACATAATGAAAAATGTTTAATTTTCAAATCTTCCACAATACAATTGAGCTAAAACCTTAAAGAAACTGCTTGGAAACCTCTGCTACCACCCAAACAGGGGTCCCAAACCACGTTGGCGGGGAATTGGTAACCTTCCGTGGCCTGTTAGGAACCTGGCCGCAGAGCAGGAAGTGAGCGGCAGGAAGTGAGCATTACTGCCTGAGATTGGCCTCCTGTGAGATCAGCAGAGGCATTAGATTCTCACAGGAGCCCGAACCCTACTGTGAACTGCGCATGCGAGGGATCTAGGCTGCTCGCTCCTTATGAGAATCTAACTAATGCCTGATGATCTGAGGTAAACAATTTCCCTCATGGTTAGGGGAATTCCTAAACCATCCCCCACCCTGCTCCGTGGAAAAATTGTCTTCAACAAAACTGGTCCCTGGTGCCAAAAATGTTGGCACTGAAAGATGAACTCAGACTTTTTATATAAATATCTGTATCACAATTTGTTAAAATCCACCGATTCTTCCTAAGACAATTCAAATTCTTTGAGACTCCTGTGTAGAAGAAAACCTGTAGTTAAGTTTTAGGAAATAAAACTGCTAAACTCTTCCAGGTCTTAACAGAGTGATTTTCTACATGCATTCCTGCTGCCGTGGGGAGGAGTTGCTCAATATCCTCACAGACATTGTGACTTTGGCTTTCTCTGGCTCCTGCTCTTTGGGGAGAGTAGGATGATCTGCTCCTGAAGACCCAGGGCAAGATTTGGAGACAGGCAGCAGGTGCTTGGGGAGCACTGTGCCCTGCGCAGAAGTAGCTTCCTACATCTGTAGTCTGGGTGGCTGTGATGTGCAGGGAGCTGTTCTTTTTTGCTTCTCCAGACCGAAATGTCAGTCTTTTCTGCTTCTTCACTTCTCCACTCTTCACTAACATCATCAAAAAAACGGGATGTCCCCCAGGCCTTTGCTTATACCACTGTATATTGTTTAAAGTAGTTGAGAAATTGCAGTACGTGGTGAAGTCCTCTCCTTCTTGTACATGCTGGTACTGAGGAATTTGCATTATTTGTTGTCCATTCACCTCTGTTTAGAAAGACAATGGGAAGCATCACATAAAATCAGAGTAGATATTTAGTCCCTGAGCTACGCGGGTCTCTCTCACTTCTCTTTTCTTTTTTTCCCTTTCTGTCCATGTTTCCCTTTCCATCTCCCTCAACCTTTATTCTTTCTGTCTCTTTCTCTCTGTTTCTCTCCCTTTCTCTTAATTCTTGTTTTTCAAACAGAAAGTCCATTCCCTGCCTGCAGATGCTTCTCTATCCTGTTGGATTTATTCTCTGGAAGCAGTCAGGGACATCTCAAACTCACGTGACAATTGCATCCATAAGACCAACACTGATGGGATGAGTAGCATCTCCCTCTCCTTCCTCTTCATCCAACTGCTCCTAAATGGGTTGCCTGGTATAAGCTTCTTCCAGATCAATAGAAATAGTTGCGGTCTATTTTGGAAGGCAGATGTGTGCATTTTGGAAAGACAGGGGAGGTGACTGCAAGTTAAGAAAACCAATGAGACTATTTTGCCCACCCACTTCAGAGGACAGTCTATGTTTGCCGATGCTGCCCCCTTGTGGCTGGACTCAAACATTGCTCATTTGACAACAGATTCTTTTATCAATAAAGTTGCTTTGTAATAGAGGTGGTATGTATGTGTGTCAAGGATTGGAAGGAAAGAGCTTACTGATAGTGACATTGTTCAAGGGGAAATAATTTGCCTCTTAAAATGGAGTCTGTGATTTTAAACTAGGGCATCCAAAGAAAAGAGAAAGTTCCATTTTGTGGCTTCCATCGTCATTAAGAATCACCTTGTGCCATGTAGCACGTGCTTGTAAATGTGTTAAAGGGACATATTAGGTCACAGACATTTTAATAAATGTGGGAGACACTTGTGATTTATTGTTAGACAACCCATTACCTCAAAACAGAAGATAAGAAATACATATTTCTCTTTTGTCACCCAGATTTCCCTGGTAAACTATCCAATTTAGAAATCATATCTACCAGCCCACTATGTTACTTTTACATATGCCAGCAGTGACGAGGGAGGACATTAATATAATTAGAAAAAAGTCTTATCTAACAGATAATCAATTTCTATAGGAAGGCTTCCATAAACAAAACACTTGGATAAAGTAGCTTTCTGTTCTGATCTGGCTGAGAAACGTCTACAGTGTGTGGTGGAAAAGGTTGGAAGATAAAAACAGAAAGTAACTTAAAAAAGCTGCGGGCTCCCACAGAACTTCAACCACACTTATCGCACTGTTTATACCTGTATAACTACTGATTAATTATCTGAGTTAGCCTTTTTGTACCTTGAAGGTGTGAACTGTATCATCTTCAAGAAATGCACTGTCTTATGTGGCAGCTACAAACCACATGAGGATACTTAAATTTAAATGAAATAAAATTTAAAATTGAATTTATCATGCACACTAGCCACATTTCAAGTGCTAAGTATTCATATGTGGCTAGTGTCTATGCAGATGCAGAACATATTTGCTATCCTTGAAAATTCTATTGGACAGTACTGCTCTAGAATGTAGGGTCTATGAAAACAATGAATTTTGTCTCTGGTTTGCTGATGGATCACTAGTATAAACCTGATGTGGTAAGCCCTCAATAAGTATTTGTCTATTATTCACCAACATGTCCTACTCTAATAGCTGGTAAATTGTGGATACTCAGGTGTTCATTAAATGACAAAAGAAAGTGTGTTTGTATATAGATTGAGTCACAATTTAAACTCAAAATATTCCAAAAAATATTAAAATATTAGAACCATATTCAATACCATATTCAATGGTATCAGTTGGCCATGTGCCCTTCTATAAAAACAATCAAGGTTTGGTTGTAGCTATTTAGAAATATTACCTTTAGGAGATACTAGTTTCCTAGGGTTGTCGTAGCCAACAAACTTGGTGACAACAAAAATTTATTTTCTTTACAGCCCTAGAGGCTAGAAGTCTGAAATTAAGGTGTCAGCAGGGCCGTGCTCCCTCTGAATGCTCTAGGGGAGAATCCTTCCTCATCTCTTCCAGCCTCCGGTGGCTCCAGGCATCTCTTGGATGTGGCTGCATAACTGCAACCCCTACTGCTGTCTTTAGATGGCCTTCTCATCTGTGTGTTTCCTTTTTTTTTTTTTTTTTTTTTTTCCTGAGACAGAGTCTCACTCTATTACCCAGGCTGGAGTGCAATGGCTCACTGCAACCTCCGCCTCCCGGTTCCAAGCAATTCTCCTGCCTCAGCCTCCTGAATAGCTGTGATTACAGATGTGCACCACCATGCCTGGCTAATTTTTGTATTTTCAGTAAAGATAGAGTTTCACCACATTGGCCAGGCTAGTCTCGAACTCCTGACCTCAGGTGATTCGCCTGCCTCGGCCTCCCAAAGTGCTGTGATTACAGGCATGAACCAATGTGCCGGCCACATCTGTGTGTTTCTTAAAAGAACAGTTGTCACTGGATTTAGGGTCTCCCTGAATAATCCAGGGTGATCTTATGTTAATATTCTTAACTCAATTACATTTGCAAAGACCCTTTTTCGAATAAGCCCACATTCACTATTTCTAGGGATTAGGACATGGACGTATCTTCTGTCATCATTCAACCCACTGCAAGAAATCTAATGTCTTTAAAGTGTTGCCATGTAAATGTATTAACGGCGGAAATCTCAACATTTTGTGTAGGGTAAAAAGTGAATCAAAATCTGAATTACTGCATGAAATGGAAACAGATCAAGAAGCAGTTTTAGGATGTGCTGAAAACGAAAAATCTCGTGAATTAAGATAAATTTTTGAAACGCATGCCACTGGGATGCTTTTTTCCTCCTTAGGAATACTGGATTTGGATCTCAAAATGAAGACAAAGTTAACAATTTTAAGGCAATAAGGACTCCTTCCCCATTCAAGAAGAGCAAGGAGTGTGGAAGGAGCACCTGTGGGGGCTTTAGAAATCCTCTTCTCTTCATCCAGGGCAGCAGCAGTGGTGCAGTTTACGTGGGAGGTATAAACCAAGACAGAGGAATCTCGCCCAGGTCAAGCTTGCCCTTTCCCAACTAGCAGCATGGCCTCTCTTGTAGCCCTCTCTAGATCTTATGGTTGGAAGTGGAAATTTACTAACGGAAGAGAAGGGAAGCTGGCCATGCACTGGTTCAAGGAGTAAAAGAAATCTCTGCACTTTTAGATGGAACCTCTACATTTCCTTGTAGGAAACATTTCCATTGAATATAAACATCTGATAGCTCTCAGTGGCAAATATTTTTGTCAAAACAATTGTAAGAGAGGATCAGATTTAAAAATATTTATAATAAGATGTTACAAGTGTTATTCTATGAAATCTCAGATAAAAAATTAAAAATGCTGCCTGAATTGGGCCATAAAGGGTGTGTAGACGTGTGTGCATATTACAATGGGAAAAATATATTCTGGGAAAAGAGGACAGATTTAGGAGAGCCCTTAATAGTCACATAAAGGGTTAGAATTTAAACATGCATATATAATATATATGAAATATATGTTATGTAAAAATATATTACATATATGAGAGAAGGATGGAAGATTAAAATAGAAGGTAAACGGGATTCTGTAGATGGCTTTGTATTTTTTTTTTTTTTTTTGAGACAGAATCTTGCTGTCTCACCCAGGCTGAAGTACAGTGGCATGATCTGAGCTCACTGCAAGCTCCACCTCCTGGGTTCAAGCAATTCTCCTGTCTCAGTCTCTCGAGTAGCTGGGATTACAGGAGCATGCAACCACGCCTGACTAATTTTTGTATTTTTAGTAGAGACAGGGTTTCACCATGTTGGTCAGGCTGGTCTCGAACTCCTGATCTCAGGTGATCCGCCTGCCTCGACCTCACAAAGTGCTGGGATTACAGATATGAGCCACCACACCTGGCCAGCCTTGTATGTTTTAGTATAGAGTTTCAACTTTACAACTTCTAATGGTTCCTCATTACCCACAGGGACGCAGGAAATGATCTCATCAGATACATTTTATAATGACTCTCGTTGCCATGTAGAAGTTAGATTCAAAGAGTTGAGACTAGAGGCAGGAAGACAATTAGGAAGTCATTGTAATCATCTAAGTGAGAGATGCTGAATGCCTGAATTAGGAAAGCAGTAAGTAATATAGAAATAAAGAAACGGATATGTGCAGTATTTGGAAGTTCAAACTGACATGACCTTGATAATTACTGGACTATCAAGGTCGTGTGTTATGTTTCATTAGGACTCTGATACCTATCTGGCATAGGAGCATGTTTACTTAGTTAGCTCTTGTGGGAGTTAGTATCCAAAGATGCCCCAAAAGTCCTCCTTCTGATATTCATGCCCTTGTGTAGTTCCCTTCCATATGGAGTCTGGGCTGGCTCCATGACTCAGTTTTAATTATATTTACAGAGGCCCCTTTTCCAAGTAACATCACATTCATGGTTCTTATGTGTGCATGAGAATGCAGCAGAAATAATATTGTGGCAGTTCTGGCCTAAACATTAAAAATGCCTGGCACCTTCCACTTTTGTAATATTGGAAGCCCTGAGCCACCAGGTAAGTTGTACCCTAGAGAGATCTGGAGGAGAAACCACATGCAGAGGCCATGTGTAATGAAAGCCCTGAGAATAGTTGGGATGAGAGATGAGCCCAGCCTTCCACATTCCCACCAAAGCTCCAGGTATGGCAGTGAGCTCCAGGGGTTCTAGTCAGGCAAGCCCCCAGAGACCCTAGCTGCAGTCAACATTACAAGGAGCAGAAGTATCATGAGATAGTAAAATGGCACTTGCTTAAGTGAGTTGTAGAATAGTTTATTATTCAGCAAGCCACAAAAGCTCTGGAGTCCAATGAAAAATAGTCTTTTTGAGAACTTGTGAGAAATCAACAATAAAAATGTATACTTCCTCTGTCTGATCTCTGCTAGTGTCTAATAGCTTGACCTGAAGCATCTGCCGGTTTCACCAAACTTCTTTTCGAAAGCCATCCTTGTGCTTCTGCACTGGCACAGAAGACCTGGTGGCAATGATCAGAGCTAACAAGAGCTCTGTGCTACTACAGCACAGGAGCACGTGGCTGATTGGTCAGGTTGGGGCCCTGCAATCAACAGAGATCTGTGTCTCTCATTTAACATGATTTTTATATGTCACTCACTCTTCTCATTCCACGTGGCTAAACTAACAAAATTTACAAGAACATGCCTGTCTGTGTCTCTATAAATAATCAGAATTTAACACATTATTTTCAATTTCAGATCAGTTTTGGAATCCAAAGAGACTGAAAATTTTGGTCCATGTTTATTTGGTTACATACAGCTTTCATAAAGACAGGGATATTTTTGTAAGGACCGTGCACTACAGATTTACATTTTTCTTGATCGTGTGGGTGGGAAGATCTCTATCTCATCGTGACTTAAGACAGGCAGAGTTCTCAAGGAAGCTGGAGTCATAGGCTGGTTTCAAGCAGCGTCATTCCACACTGAAGTGTGATATGAATGTAATTAATTTCTGTGTGTGCTTTGACATGCAGGAGACTGTGAGGCATTGTGTTGCAGGCACACACAAATGAGTCAGACGTGCATCTTTTATTTTACCCAAGCCTTTTGATTCTACCAATTTAGAGTTAGTTCAAGCCTCAAGATCATTGCTGGAAATATTAGAAATTCTTCCACTGATCTTTATGCCAATAATAATGGAGAGCTGGTTTGGGAATTTGACTACCAGCTGGAACAGTGATCAGTCTTCTTTTGTGTAGTTCTTCTCCACCAACACTAGTGTACAATGAACCATAGCTTCTCTGCACTCAGTCCTGTGCTATACCCTTCTGATTTCATACATGTTCAAATAGTATTACAAATTTAGCCACTTCCAATCTGATAGTCAAATAGATTCATTACCACCTTGTGAATAAATTTTGAAAAAACTATTTCTCTCTCTATGTATATATCTCTAAAAGAGTCCAGTCTGAAAGATTGGTATACACTCCATTATTATTCTTAAAATGTATCGGCTTTTTTCCTAAATATATGATAATAACAATAATGAGATTGTTAAAAAACATAAATCCACAAAAGAGAAAGAAATTGCAATAGCAGCATAATTTAGGAAACTGGACAGGAGCTGGATAAATAGTTATTAATGTAGATGTTTAGAGAAAGTTGAAATTCTAGCTTTTAGATGAGGAAGCCCAGAAACAAGTTACTTCATCTTAACAACCCCCAAGAAAGCTTGAAATTA